GTCTGAACACAAAACAGAAACTTCTGACACAGGAATGTGAATGTTTACTTTACTACAATATAGACTGTGTATACAGAACAACAAATGAGGCTATGAAAATACATGATCAATGTACATCTGCGGCAGGTGAAAACCAGAGATGTAGGTAGGAGGGTTTATAATGCGTCAGACATGTAGCTTAATACAGATGATACGTGTATATAGATAGTGGGGGTCCAAGCTTGATTTGTCGAAGGAAAATTAGAGAAAATGAGATTTGTATCTAACTTCAGCTGCCCATATTTCTAGATCTATTGATCATTTTGACATGTGGTTTTCACTAGATGTAACCTCTGCTTATGTATTTTTTATGCTTTGTTGGAATAGCTCAGGATTATGACATGATGACTTTAATCTAACATGAACAGATGTCATTGGACGGAGTCACCTATGCTTGGTGGTGACCTTGCAATAAACTATAGAGGGAGTGTGTGTTGGGTGTAGGCAGATGCCAGCGAGCTGCAGGAATCAATAAACCCACAAACAGAGAGCGAGTGAGCACATTAAGCATCCAGATTTAGAAACTCTCCGAAACAAGGGCCCCATTTCCGCCGCGTGAATAATTTATCTCAGCTCAGAGTTTTCTTACCAGTAGGCAGGAAATAGCTTCTTCGCAAAGAAGGCTTTTTCCCCCCCACCACCACCTTTTCCCTGTCCCTTTATTTTTTTTTTGCTTACCGAGCAAACAGAATTAGCCGTGGAAGGACTTTTAACCCCTCCGTGACCAGATGAGTCAGCAAGCGTTACGAACAATGCTCAATTTTACCTTTAGGATGGCCAGTGGAAAAAGCTGTGCCTTTCCCAGCATGCTGAGCTCTGGTAATCACCCTCAAGCATTGCCTGCAGGCAGTGTGATGTCGGTACATCAAGGGCACTACATTCAAAATGCAGGTTGATTTTGTTTTAGTCTTGCAGTATGCACAACATGAGGTTTTAGTTTATTTTCAATATTTTTTAATATTTTTGTTTTCTTAAAACAGTAAACAATAACACAAGGGGGGGTAACATTGGGGCATTATTGACCAGATGTAAGAGTGCCTGCATAATTTCAAAGGGTAAGTTAAAGTGATAGTAAGCCCTCATTTTTTAAGCACTTTAGCAGTTGATGAAATAACTAAATTTAGTATTTTTTTTAATACTTGTCTATGTTTCTGTTTAAGCCAGGGCTGTGACCACTGTCCCAGGTTTCCTGTTTCAGGGTGGCTGTTTTCTCTTGCAGATTCCTATGGAGCCACCCCTGCATGCAGGAACCAGAATTGGGTTTCCCTACACTGTGTGCATCAATAGACACACACAGCCTGTAACCCAGGATGGCAAGGCACTCTCCTGCTTCTCCCCCTCCATTTTCCAAGCTAATAGACTGTCTGGAGACTGCACTGTTCAAGAAAAATAACAAAAAAACTCAACTCCACTATACTTATAAAAAAGAGAAAAGTGTTTTACAAATTATAACTGCCACATATCCATCCTCAAATATCCTTGTATTACATAATTAAAAGATATAACACTCTCCTGCTTCTCCCCCTCCATTCTCCAAGCTAACAGACTGTCTGCAGACTGCACTGTTCAAAAAAAAAAATTAAAAAAAAACCTCAACTCCACTATAATTATAAAAAAGAGAAAAGTGTTTTTCAAATTATAACTGCCACATATCATTCCTCAAATATGCTTTTATTGAATAATAAAAAAAAATATACAAAACACAATTAAAAGAGAAGCTTGGCCAAGAAAGGACATACACACTGACACCCTCCTGTATAACAAGACAGCACTGCACTGTCCACTGCTAACTCTTTTCTGTGAAGACTGGACGTTCAGGGAAGCAGCACTGAGACAGCAGGACCCATCATTATTGAAAACTGTAAACTGCAAGTGCTGTTATAAGAAATGTAAACCATGGTTTACTGGGGAATGTTTATTTATGTAGCACTACCCTCTTGAGGGCCGCTGAGTTTTCTGGGTTCTCTGTCTGTTTTAAGTCTGTTTTGGAAGTACCGCCCCCTGCTGACACAACTGTGAACCTTTGACCAGGTGGACTCCCTGGCTTTGAAGCATAAAATAAACCCACACAGTTTAAAGTGAGCAAATATTCTGATTATATTGAGGTCAGAAAATAAAGAGTGCAAGCACAAGAATGACAGTAGATGTGCATAAAAGAAAAGTTAAACTCTTTAAATGGTTCAACAAGGTAACATAATACAGTATTATGCCCAAATGTTCTGCAGGATTAGAATTTAAACATCAATTCCAGATTCTGAGATATCTCTCCCCAAGTGAGCTGGAGTGAACTATCAAGAAGTCAAGCTAATTCATTTTTGGGTTCTCAGTCACTGGCAACTGGGTTTAACTCTGGACAGGAATACTTCTGGTTATGAGCAATAGCGTCCCTTTTTTTGTATCTTTATAAGTAAAGGTGTCCAATTTTCTGCGCTTGATGGGGCCCTCATTGGTGCACATTAAGGTCCTTCCTTAAAGTGTTACTAAACCCAGGACCCTGCATTCACTCTATCTGGTCTCCAACAGTACATACAACATGGAAATGCAATTATTTTAGTAAATATAAACTGCTAAATAGCTTTTCTCATCAGCAGTTAGAGCTGTCTTGTGACTTCAGCAGAACCTGGTTTAAAGCTTGTAGGAGGAGTTTTCTTTTCCTCTAGGTGCTGATTTTCCCTGTGCTGCTCACATGCACTCTCCCAAGAAAAGACAAAAACCTCTCTAGCAATACACACCAAACTGAGTATGTGCATGTGACTACATAGTCAGCCTGTATCAGGTGGTCATTTCAATAAGAGGAGGGGCAGAGAAGAAAGGATCAAACAGCCTTTTTACACAATGCAGTGGATTAACCTCTTAGGTTCCACAGTGAGTATAACAAGCATGCTTTACTGCATATACAGACTGATTTTACTGTTGTGGGTTTAGTAACACTTTAAGACGGTATAGTCACAGAAAGATTCCCTCTTTGAGTGATGTTGGAACTGGGTAAGGGCTTTTTAAAACAGAGGATGAAGGCTAAGTAGCTAAAATTGTAGAAAGGGGCGGATGCAAACTTCAGCAGAGGATGAACCCCTAAAGATAGTGAACTAGTCTGGTGAAGCAAGTTCCTTTGGAGTTGGAAGAGGCTTGAAATGAGTTACTAATGTAACCCTCTCTGTTGGGGGCATGTGCAGTAGCCAGAGTCCTGTGGCTTCAGGATGCTAGTGAGACAGTAAGTAGTAGGCCGTATTACAGAGTGGGCTAGGTAGTCTGGGTCTCAAGTTTAATAAGCTGTGGTGTAAGGTGTACTGAATTGAACAATTGAAATTTAACACAGTCACTTGCAACTTGTGATGATTTGGGTATGGAACCCTCTCACCCGGTCTGTAACATTTGCAGCATAAAAGATAGTGTCTCAGATGGGGGGGTTCATGCGTTTTGGTCCCTCTGTTAGTAGGAGTGATGCTGATGGCAGTACTACAATCCACCTGCCCGCATGATTGACTGTCCTGCTCGTCAGCAACACATGAGCTCTGCAGTCCCTCTTTCCTCCTCCACTCAACAGCCTGATCCAGCCCAGATCTCCAAAGTCCCTCAAGGCCTTCTCCACAGGCTTCTCAATATATATTTTCTAGCTCTTCTGGGAAATGTAGTCTGCTCACTCCTTGTCTTGAGAGCAGAAGTCCTGCTACCAGCATAAAAGTTCAACAAGGCTTTTCTTCAAAAGTCTGGATAACTGAATCGCAGAACACTGCCATCTCGTGTTTAATTAACATTCTGCAACTAATATTAATGCAGTGTGTTGCATTTAATTGTGCTAAATAAATTAAAAAAACGCTGAGGGTTTAATATTACTTTAAATATAATCCTGATCTCCAGGAACTTCCCATAAGAATTACACTAACATAGTTGATTTTGGACTAACCATCGTCTTGATCAAATTGAATTAAAAGAGGCTTTTCTCCTACGTATTCAAAGTAAGATCCCATTATACTTCTCTCTTATTGGCCAGAGGGGTTCTATGTGGAACCCCTACTGATCCACCAATTAGCCAGAGCAACCAATTAATTCAGTGTTCTTCAGCATCCTTCAGGGAGTCATTGCTTTTCAATGGTTTGCTGGGACTAGACGTGGCCCACATTTGGTTTGAAAAAGCTTTGATGCCTAAGAAAATTGCTCTATTGAAATGGAATTATTGAGACTTTGCACTTTCCTTTATAAAGTTGAACCCTGCAAACTGCTAAATAGACATTTGAAATGCATACAAATTAACTGTTTTATCTGACAAAGTATTTTTTGCAAATTTTGTTCAGCCAGCCTCCTGTTATCTAGACAGACCTGCTACACAGCACAGCCAGATCGCTGACCTCACTGTTCTCCACTGCAGTTAGGTAGTACAGCAAGGTCACCTAAAGTGGAACTACATGCAAGATACTCACCTATGCTCCAATGGTCCGATGCCTGCAAGGTCCCTCCCCGGCACTGGCATCTTCTCTTTGGGTTCTTCTGGGTGCAGGTCATCACCATTTTGATTGTCCAGCATGGGAGAGCAGTCATCCTGGCACACTGGCAGTGTTCCAGAATGTAAATTGAGCTGCGCATGAGCAGCTCCATTTTCATTATGCAAGGGATTGCAAACAGGCAGGCATGTATATTTTATTGCAGAAGAGCTTACATGTTTGCAATTTTTAATTTTCTGCCTGTAGTTCCACTTTAACTGTTAGAAACTAAAAGGGCCCATGCACACTGGGAATTTAGCCCCTGTACATGAGACTCAAGTTTTTAGGTGCAGGTGGGAAACACAAGCACACCATCCAAGCCTGGTGCCTTCAGCCTTTTAAACTCTGCTAGACAGGGCTGGGTGGTGTCAGGGCTGTGGATAAGGGAGTACCACCTGTCCTCCTGTAGCAGGGGAGCCCTGGAAGCTGGGTAAATTGGATGTGGGCAGGGAGGGTGATCGGCTGGCAGGAGGGGGGAATTACTGGAACTGATCACATTTATGACTCTCAGCCAGGGGCGGACTGACCATTTGGAAACTCGGGCACTGCCTGAGGGCCTGGGGTCAGTAGGGGACCCCATGAGATGCCCCTGGTACCTTTTTTTATAGGCTTTTTTTCAGTTTGGGCAAGGACACAGGGGCCCCATGATCCCCTATTGCCCGGGGGCCCCATGAGTTGTCAGTCTGCCCCTGCTCTCAGCAACTGAAAGCTGGCTTCTTCTCCTCTCCCTCCCACCATTTCAATCACCCTCCCTGTGTACCATGTTTCCCCCTTGCTGCCCAGACCCCCTTGTGTGCCCCCCTACCCCTGAAGTGCTGACGGATTCCCTCCTCTACTTCCCACCGGCAGCTGCAAGTACACAATAGGTTCCTTTCAGAGTGTGGGAAGGGTAAATATGTCACATTTACCAGCTACTTCCTTTCCTAAATGAACACAATGAGTGATCGGTACCGATCACTCACTGTGTTCAGTCATAACTAAGCCTTGTAATCTCTGTTTATTTGGGAGGGCCCTTTCATGTTGACTGTATGGGGCCTGTGATTTCTAACAGCAGCCCTGGGTGGTGTACTGGGTGCTTCTAGCGATTATGGCAGTATGCTCCCGGAGATGAATGCCCGAAATGCAAGGAGCCTGCCTTCAGCCTGTCATAAAGTTTAACTTGCTGGCGACAGCGGGGCTGAATGGTGGGCTTGTGGGTCCCACACCTAGACGCTGGAGCCTCGTGCACTGGGGTTAAAAGCCCAGTGTGAATGGGGCCTAAAAAGATATTTTTTTTTCAAAACATTACATTGATAAGGTTATTTATAATAAGCTCACCCCATTAGAGTGGAATTGTAACCAAAGCATGTGTTTTTGTTTTAAGGCTTCTAACCCATGCTAAGATCTATACCATATACCCAATTCTTCTTTACAATCAAAAATGATATAATAAAAAAATGATCAATAGTTGTATATTAGTACTATAATAAATGTGTTGCGGAAACAAATAATAATAATAATACTGTATATATGACTGGTTGCTGCTCCTACATAGAGTTCTGAACCCTCACAGCTGATAAATACTTAATGTAATCTCCACAATCTCAGAAAATTAGAATATCACATGCAATCAATAAAACAAGGATTGTACATAGAACAATATTGGACCTCTGAAAGGTACAGTGGGGCAAAAAAAAGTATTTAGTCAGCCACCAATTGTGCAAGTTCTCCCACTTAAAAAGATGAGAGAGGCCTGTAATTGGCATCATAGGTAGACCTCAACTATGAGAGACAAAATGAGAAAAAAAAATCTAGACAATCACATTGGCTGATTTGGAAAGAATTTATTTGCAAATTATGGTGGAAAATAAGTATTTGGTCACCTACAAACAAGCAAGATTTCTGGCTCTCACAGACCTGTACCTTCTTCTTTAAGATGCTCTTCTGTTCTGCACTCATTACCTGTATCAATGGCACCTGTTTGAACTTGTTATCAGTATAAAAGACACATGTCCATAACCTCAAACAGTCACACTCCAAACTCCACTATGGTGAAGACCAAAGAGCTGTCGAAGGACACCAGAAACAAAATTGTAGACCTTCACCAGGCTCGGAAGACTGAATCTGCAATAGGCAAGCAGCTTAGTGTGAACAAATCAACTGTGGGAGCAATAAGTAGAAACTGGAAGACATACAAGACCACTGATAATCTCCCTTGATCTGGGGCTCCATGCAAGATCTCACCCCATGGGGTCAAAATGATCACAAGAACAGTAAGCAAAAATCCCAGGACCACACGGGGGGACCTAGTGAATGACCTGCAGAGAGCTGGGACCAACGTAACAAAGGCTACCATCAGTAACACACTACGTCGCCAGGGACTCAGATCCTGCAGTGCCAGACGTGTCCCCCTGCTTAAGCCAGTACATGTCCGGGCCCGTCTGAAGTTTGCTAGAGAGCATTTGGATGATCCAGAAGAGGATTGAGAGAATGTCATATGGTCAGATGAAACCAAAATAGAACTGTTTTGTAGAAGCACAACTCGTCATGTTTGGAGGAGAGAGAATGTTGAGTTGCATCCAAAGAACACCATACCTACTGTGAAGCATGGGGGTGGCAACATCATGCTTTGGGGCTGTTTCTCCGCAAAGGGACCAGGACGACTGATCCATGTAAGGACAGAATGAATGGGGCCATGTATCGTGAGATTTTGAGTGCAAACCTCCTTCCATCAGCAAGGGCATTGAAGATGAAACGTGGCTGGGTCTTCCAACATGACAATGATCCCAAACATACCGCCTGGGCAATGAAGGAGTGGCTTCGTAAGAAGCATTTCAAGGTCCTGGAGTGGCCTAGCCAGTCTCCATATCTCATATTGACCAAGTTATTATTTTCCACCATAATTTGCAAATAAGAGAGCTGAGCCAATCAAACAATTTCTGACAACATGCAGTCTTAAAAGGGAAACAGTTCTTTAGCCACTTCTCAACTGGCCGTTGTATATAAACGGCCGAACGGTGGCACTGCAGGGCCGGGTGGCCATTTATAAATTTATAAAATTTATAAATGGCCACCCCGCACCCTGCTTGTGCGCGCTCCCCGGGAGCACGCAGCACCGCGATCCAGTGCCCGCTGTGTCCTCCGGACACAGTGAAATACTGATCGTTGGACGGGACCTCTGTACGAGGTCCCGATCATGTGATCACTGATTGGCCAATCAGTGATCACATGCAAAGTAGTAAGCAAGCTGTCACTTCTGACATCATTGCTTACTACGTGTGAAATCTGTGAATGATCACAGAGGTCACATGGTACAAGGCTATTCACAACAGCCTTGTACCATGTGACAAGGTGTGACCAATCACAGCTCACTCAGTAGTTCTCAATGGCTGCCAGAATGTAGACAGAGAAAGAGAAATGATTGCTTTTACATCCTATATGGGTGTAAAAGCAATCAGTGTAAAAAAAAATAAAAAATCTTCATCACCCCCCCAAAAGTAGCACAGTGTCACCATGGTGACACTGTACTGCTAGGGTGACAGTATGTAAAAAAATAAAAAAAAATAATAATATAAACAAAAAAATAAAAATGTAAAAAAAAATGTTTAAAAATTATAATTTTTGGTTATAAACTAATTTGTCTTATTTTTTTTTTTACTAAAAAAAAACGGAATAAATTTTGGCCAAGATTTATAATGACATATTATTTATTTGCAAAATTTTATAAGAAAAACACTTTTTTTCAAAATTGTTGGACATTTTCATTTACATAGCAAAAAGAATAAAAATCCCAGCGGTGAAAAAATACCACCAAAATAAAGTTTTATCTGTCTCAAAAAAATGGCAAAAAATTCCTATGGGTACAGTGTTGCATGACTGCGCATTTGTCATTCAAAGTGTGATAGCGCTGAAAGCTGAAAATTGCCCTGGACAGGAAGGGGGTAAAAGTGTCTGGACTGGAAGTGATTAAAAGGGGAACAGCAATGGCCCCACTACACATGTTGTGCTGTCCATCAGTGATCCCACTCACTCACCAACTTCCGTGGACTCTTAGATGTGTATAAGAGTCTAAATCGCTTATAAAAGAATCCTGGTTTTGCTGGGGCTTGTAGTTCTCCTTAATGATTGTATCCTGTCTTGGTACTGATGTACCTCTGATCAGTGTCAGCGCTCACAGGAGAGTATATGTAGAAAGTAAGAGACCCACATAGTGAAATTCCATTTATTGATAAAGCAAACAAAATTGGTTGCAGTTACATTTAAAAGATCAGTTCCAAGCAAAACTTCTGAAGATGCCCACTGGAAGGGGCGAAACATGTAAGTAGAATCCTTTGGTGACATCATATCTGGCCAGTGAAATGCACATCAGTGTGTCACATCTTGCAGGCGATTTCACTCGGAACTCATCTTTTTTAATGTAAGTGCAACCAATTTTGTTTTGTCAAAAAATGGAATTTCACCCCCTCTCTTACTTTCTACATGCAGGAGAGCCTATACTCATGTGACTGCTGACACTGATCGGAGGTACAACATTACCAAGACAGGATACCATCATTAAGGAGAACTACAAGCCCCAGCAAAATCAGGATTCTTTTATAAGCCATTTAGACTTTTAAACACATCTAAGAGTTCACGGAAATTGATGTGTGAGTGGGATCACTGGCGGGGAGCACAGCACGCAAAACTGCACCTTATTTAGGCTCCATGCACACTGGGCATTTTAATAACGCTGGTAACATTAGCTGTGTAAAGCACGTTAAAAATGTGAGTTTTTCAGTGTTTTTGTATTAGCGTTTTGCTGCATTTTTTGCGTTTTTTTAGAGGTTTTTTTTTTACAAACAAAAATTCCAAAAACGCTGGTTTGCCACGATTTACCCCGTTTTACCGCGTTTTTCAGCGTTAGAGCATTTTTACAGCTAAAAATCTCCTCTAGAAACCCACTAGTTCTGGGGTTTTTTCCAGCCAAAAAACGCCCCTGCCAAAAATCGTTTATTACAGTCTATGTGTGCATGGACACATAGGATAACATGCTGGGGGGTTTACTGGCTGTAGAAGAAAACGTCAAAAGCCAAAAACAGCTGCTGTAAAAACGTCCCATGTGCATGAGGACTTAAGGAAAACAGCACATCAGCACAAATATGAGACTACACACTATTCTTATGCACAAGGCAATATGAGGACATGAATTCATTGATATTGGGTTTTTTTGTTTATTGGTAAAATATTTTTTTAATTAGGCAGCTCTTCCATTATGTGTTTTTGTTGTTTCAGATACAGTGGGGAAAGGCTGCAACCTCTATCAGGTTTTTATTGCTGCCTTTCCCTTCACGTCCTGTCCTTGTGACAGCAGAAAATTTGGGAAACTCTTTATAATATGGACAGCAATTAAATATGGACAGGGGATCTAACCCTTACTGTTCATATATAAAAAATATTAACAAACGGCATACTTTTAGGCCGGATTTTCACTTTTCAACACCCATCTTCATAAACATTTCAAAAACGTCAATCATTTTCCTTTAAAGGATAAATGTATTCTAATAGGAGAGCAGACTACGGAGTTGCTAAAATTACCAAATATAACCAATTATCACATTTACTGTTTCTTGCAAAAGACGAAAATCTAATTTACAGTTCTCCAATACACCACATCCTCACAACCAACTATCGAGATAGTCACCAAATATTACAAATTTATATGCAATTTGCTATTTTGAGAAATACAGGCTGTAATTGCCTAGGGCCATGTGGTCAGCACTTGATAACTATGATATAGGGAGGCTCAATCTCACATCCCCCCTCCAATGTTTGTGAAGGCTGCACAAAATATTTTATAAATTTAATGCTACAGAAAGCTGTCAGACACTGTAGACATTCTACAGGAGATTATCAGAAACAGCGGACATGCTGTAGGAGTTGTTGGAGACTGGACACTTTTCAGGAGACACTGAAGACACATTGCATAAAACTGCTGGAGATCCATGCAATTACAGCATCTATACAGTTCAGTGTTTCCACATTTGTGTTCCATACAATGCCCCTTTTGTGCGTCATTTAATATTTCTCTAAGCAAAATCCATTATATAAGAACAGAGGAAAAAAATGAGAAAAGATTGGACAGCACAGAAAAAAGTAAAGCTGGCCATACACTAGTAGATTTTGAATGGACATTCATATGAAACTTTGTATGAGAATCTTCAGTACGACTTGACGACTTGATGAAAATTGTTTGAAAGTACTTCAAAATGTATTTGCTTTTAACGTTCAATTTTGGAACAAATGGACTTTGCCGACCAAAAACTGCATATACTGGTAGAAATGTATTTGTTGGAAAAAACTTGTGCATATTACATCTGCCTGAAATTTAGCTTTAAAGCAATCAATTTATCTATATGTAGCGCTACACCCAAAGAGGCTGCTGGATAAATGGGTTTCTCCTGCTGCATCTGGTGATGACCCACTTTGTGCCTGGACCCGAAAATCAGTGACACACCAATAACAGTAGAATGAGCTTTTAGAAGAAGAGAAGTTTGGGGTTAGGCTCCTTTGACACTTGCAGAGTCCATTCTGATCAGCTGGGGATCTGTATGCAGATCCCATGCTGAATTGGAGCCCCACATACTGTATATGGGGTACTTTTTCTCTTGTGCTATTTTCACCAATGCCGAGGGAAAAGGCTGAGGCCACCATGGAGGAATACTCAACCTTAAGGCGGGCCTTTTCTTTTAGAGATGAACATACATCATGTACATCTGCAGCATCATGCACCAATGCACTTGCAATTAGGTGGGCCACACCAAACACAGACCACACCCACCTGTCCAGGGTTTTCACTACCGGTCCCGGTAGCAACATGGAACCCGCCGTACACATAGCGAAAGCTCCAATGTGCACTTGACTTTAACTCTTGAACCTCCGCAGCTCTGCTCCGGTTGCTATGGGAGACAGAATGTGGCATAGGGAGTGCCGACAACATCTCCCTTGCGGCTAGAGGCAGTTACATCTATAACAGGTACACATTTCCAACAGGCTGCTTGCTGACTGCACCTCTGTTGCCCATGACAACCACAGTACTGCACTATGATGTCTCTTTACATGCTGACTCTTCATAACCCATGTACGCTATATTTCCAAAAGTATTGGGCCAGCCCTGCAAATTATTGGATTCAGGTGTTCCAATCATCTCCATGGCCGCAGGTATATAAAATCAAGCGCCTAGGCATGCAGACTGCTTCTAAAAACATTTGTGAAAGAATGGGTTGCTCTCAGAAGCTCAGTGAATTCAAGCGTGGTACCATGATAGGTTGACACCTGTGCAATAAGTCTATCATGAAATTTCCTTTGTACTAAATATTCCATGGTCAACTGTTAGTGGTATTATAACAAAGTGGAAGCAACTGTGAACAACAGCAATTCAGCCATGAAGTGGTAGGCCATGTAAAATGACAGAAGGGGGTCAGCGCATATTGAAGTGCACAGTGTGCGGAAGTTGCCAACTGTCTGCAGAGTCAATAGCTAAAGACCTCCAAACTTCATGTGGCCTTTAGATTAGCACAACAACAGGGCATAGAGAGCTTCATGGAATGGGTTTCCATGGCCGAGCAGCTGCATCCAAGCCTTACATCACCAAGTGCAATGCAAAGCGTCGGATGCAGTGGTGTAAAGCATGCCACCACTGGACTCTAGAGCAGTGGAGATGTGTTTTTTGGAGTCACAAATCATGCTTCTCTCTCTGGCAATCCAGTGGACGTGTCTGGATTTGGCAGTTGCCAGGATGACGATACTTGCCTGACTGCATTGTGCCAAGTGTAAAGTTTGGTGGAGGGGGATTATGGCATGGGGTTGTTTTTCAGAGGTTGGACTTAGCTCCTTAGTTCCAGTGAAGAGAATTGTTCAGGAGTCAGCATACCAAGACATTTTGGAAAATTTCATGCTTCCAAGTGGGAACAGTTTTGGGATGGCTCCTTCCTGTTCATGACTGCACACCAGTGCACAAAGCAAGCTCCATAAAGACATGGATGAGTGAGTTTGGGGTGGAGGAACCTGACTGGCCGGCATAGAGTCCCGACCTCAACCCAATAGAATACCTTTGGGATGAATTAGGGCAGAGACTGTGAGCCAGGCCTTCTCGTCGTCATCAGTGCTTGACCTCACAAATGCACTTCTGGAAAAATGGTTAAACAGTCCCATAGACACACTCCTAAACCTTGTGGACAGCCTTCCCAGAAGAGTTGAAGCTGTTACAGCTAAAAAGGGCGGGGCCACCTCAATATTGAACCCTACGGACTAAGACTGGGATGCCACTAAAGTTCATGCGTGTGTA